GATAATGTCTAATGTTTGAAAAGGGATTGTGACGGGAATCATGGAGGTTAGAGACATAATGCTAGTTCCAGTGTAAACGTGCCCTTATGCAAAGCTCTTAATACATTTCCTCATAGGTTTTTTTAAAGGCTATATCGACATGCCGCCCCCCCCCTCTCCTCCTCAACCCTGCTGTTGTCAAATAATAGAGCAGCTTTAGAAGTCCTTAATTATTAATTCACACACACGTAGCCGTGAAGAGGCCACAGACTGTAAAGTCAGCGTTCTGCTCGGGGCCGCTGGTGTAAAACGGGATCTATTTTCTGTCTGTGCCCCGGCCTCAAGGCGATGGTGTAATGAAGCGAGAATCGTTCCCCTCGTTGTTTAAACTCACCCTTTTATCCCCCTCGCTCACGATCTTTTTCCCCAGCGAGTCTGGCGTCTGTGCCCGACGTGGTCTCTCATCTGCTGATATATGAGCACTTCCAATGGTCATTCCGACCGATTCTTAATTTGACTTGTGTCTTCTTATAAAGGACGAGTTCCTAGCATCGAACACTCTGCTGCTTTGCAGAGTCTGCAGTCAGACGTTGAAGGAGGAGTAGAGCGCAGAATGCAGTCGCAGATACTAAGTAGTGTATTTATGTACACGTGCCTATTTTCTGCAAGAACAAACATTTCCTCCGCATAACCACATGTCTGTGAGCGTGTCTTAGCATATCTCCATCTCCATCGCTGCTCTCTAACAGTAACCCTCTCTCACCCACCTGCTCGCTCCACCAACAAGACCAACAAACCTCCCTCCCTCCCTCTCCTCTTCCTGTGGGAGGCCGTTTAACTTCCTCGGAAAACCCAGTGCGGCTTCCTGCGTTGCTGCTGGCAGCGCGGCGGCTCTGACAAGCGGCCGCCGAACGCACCCACTGACGAGCAAACGTCCCCTTTCGGAGAAGAAAAGTGAGGCGTGGTGGTAAATACAATAGCACTCCGCAGGCGGCGTTGAAGCTCACTTTCGATGCAGCACTGACGCGATGCTGTGGTGCGGTTTCACCGGGCCGTCATGCTGAACTGTAACGAGTGATCACAGGGTAGGTGTTAGAATAGAAAGTCTTTCCCTCTGTGGCAACGGCGAGGATGCTGGAGAGACTTTTTCTCACAATAGAGACCAACTATGACTAGGCCAATGAGCGTCACCAATTAACCGAACCCCGAGAACTGATGTCTTTGGGCCGTGGGCGGAAAGCGGCGTCCTCGGAGTAGCCGGCGAGAACCCACGCAGACACGGGCGGGTGGGGATGGGGGGAAACGTGCAGGCTGCACACTGAAAGGCAGCTGGCGGTTTCGGAAGCCAGGACCACCACCAGCACGCTGCCTGCCCAGTGCCTGAACGTATTGTATGAAATCGCCCCCATCTGAATTTATAGTGGAAATTCAAATAGTCCAATGCATATATCATCTTTCTCAGCCCATTAGCAACAAGGCATGAAGAGAAATTGAAGAATGAGTAGCTAGGCGCGGTGAGGAAAAGGGGGAGTTTTTGAAAGAAACAGGAGGTTTGAGAGAGGAGATTATACGGGGAGAGATAATGAGAATTCATTTCACAGACGGGAGCAGCAAACGCATCGGAGGCAAAGGTTCATGTGATGCAGATTCCAGCCTCATCAACTACTGTAATGAGGATTTGTATAATCTGCCATCTGCCCTGCGGTTATATGTCTTCTGTGGTTCCAGGGGTATGACACACGGGGGACGTGAAACAAGCCGTCAATAATTCCCACGACTGTAGCGAGAAGCCGGTAATAGAAGTGAGGAGACAAACATCGCACTTCTTCTCCTGCCCCCCCGGTCCAGTCGCTCTCAGGTAACTGTGAGCATCTACCTCGCCAAATATTCAACAGCACACCTCTACAGTTTTGTTTTTTCCCACGACACGAGCCGTGACAAGACATTTCAGTCAGTCAAGCAAGAGACTGCCACCCTCCATCCATCCGCCGGTGAACAATGTCACTGTGTTTGCTTCAACAGCGTGTGACTGCCCGGTTATCACCGCACGTATGAATAATACATCTGAGATGATGGGCTCTTTTTTGGCATTAATGTGGAACAGCACACATGCAAAGGAATCATTAAGAGTCTCCCTGATATCAAAGCAATCCCTTTCACGGACACTTTCTTTCTGCTTCCGACTCGATAAAATTGTTCATTACGCTCAAAATCCTTTCTGGATCCATGTCGGCTTTTCTGCAAATGACTGTTTATCCCTTCGCTGACTGGCTACTGCTTGACTCTTGAAAAAGTGGGCCAGCGCGTTCTCCGTCTCTCTGATCTCTACCCAGCGACGGTTTTTATGACATGCGGGTGTCCTTGACAGGCAGAGGATGTCCGTTCTGCAGCTAATCCACGGATGAGTTCGCCAGCTGGGGGATCAGCGTCATATCCCCAGTGGTGGCTGAAAACCACCTGCTATGATAAACGCCGCACGGACACACGCGGCGCTTCATCCAAACATTTTGGGGGAATTGGTTCTCTTTTCTATTCAGGTCTCCAAAGCAGTTGCATTGTGCGACTTTATCTGGAAAACACTGCATCTACATTTTCAGATCTGATAACATGGCAGCGCGCAGATTGATTTAGCTATTGAACCACTGCCCGGGCACATTGCGATTAATATAAATAAATACATTTATTTCACAAAAAACCTTTATCCGTTATGCAACTAAGCTTAAGAGAAAATGTATAATTAGGCTGCAGCGTGTGTCGATCAAGCGAGCGTCTCCATTGTGCTCTCGTGGGCGCAGCGTCTAGTCCCAGTCTCTCTCAAAAGGTGCACGGGTCCAAATGAAAAGCGAGCGACGCTTTTCATTTCGCTTGCACGCACCAGAGCGCTTGCGCGTGTGCCGTGCACAGGATGAATGCTGGAGGACCTCGGCCAGTGTGTGACAGCCGGCATATGGCACCACTCTACCTCCACCAGCCGGTCCACGGCTCTGGCGGCGTCGGCCCGGCAGCCCCTCAGACCTCTGCTGTCTCGGGCCGCACGCCAGGAGTACAAGTCAGAGCTGGTTATCAGGAGCAGAAGCAAAGGAGGAGCTGCTGACAGACTGGGCTTAGGTTTGAGACACGTGTCCTATTTTATGTATATTAGACTTCCAGAATATTCACAGAAAGTAAAGTGCCATGTTGTTTGTGAGTGGGCTGGATAGAGTCAAAGAAATAGCGTGTCGACTCTACAAGTGCGCTTTGATGCGTGACGCGCCTGATGTAAAATGTAGTTTGTGTGGATGTTGCAAAATGTATTTCTCTCTGATGCCGCTTGCCTTTTCCAAACTAAAACAAAAATAAGAAATTCTGTTGGTTTCTGTATGTCTTTTAAGTGCAAATGTGTCTTGTGCTTTGAACAGTTTTCACATACAAAATGATAAAACGGAAAGCTCAGAACTGGATGTTAATAATAAAGAGCCTTGCTGTGCTCGGGACATGGAATTCATTTACATTTGTGCAAATAGTCAACATGGTCCAGGTTCAGATAGTCTGTTTGGTTGCAGACTGGCGTGGCAGTATCTCCTTTCTAAAAAACATTTTAAAGATGCCAAAATCATGGTCAACAATTAGACGCAGGGCCCAAAATATCTGGGAAACAGATGATAGAACACAGATATCAACCACATTTGGCCACTTTTTGGCCAACAATTAATTTGATATTGCTCATTGTGTAAAGAAAAGTAATACAATATACAAAATGTGTTTTTTGAAAATGACAGCAAAGGCATGCCAACACAAGGCCAGCGTGCACAGTCTGCAGGAGCGATTCCTCCGATACCAACACCAGTATCGCAGCAGCATCCGATGCAGCTTCAAAAGGCTGGATCGAGTATTGGCCAGAAAACGAGCCTCTGCACCCATTTCACGCTGTTGTGTCATTCATCAGGTGGCTTTTGCATGACAGGAACAGCGACAACAACATCAGGTCTCACTTCGTATGCGGGTTAAACACTGGGGAGAGCTAATGAATCGAGGTTTCATTGAGTCATTTTATGATGCATTTACACCAGTTAGTAAAAACGCATATTTGATACAGGTTAATTAGAACATTGCTATAATGTATTCAAAGTGTTGTATTTTTTTTTGACACATTAATGCATCCTTGATTGGAGTTTAAAGGACGTATTTCTATAGCAATAAAATAGTAACTTCCTTTCTGTTCTTAAGGCATCAGAGTGGTAATCCATGTGTCAGCATCAGGATGGACGTCCGCACACTGTGTCCTGAACTCATGGAATGACTCATGATGACCTATTTTAAAAATAACGCAATAGTAATTTCCTATTTTCTACAGTTCTGCACAGATAGTTAAACTTTACCCCAGGTGTAGACTGACTAATAAATCATATTTTGCAGATTAGGTTTAGAAAATCCGTTAATTAAACTCTGCTGAACAGGTTACGAATCTATAGCTGCTTTCCTTATCGCCAACTCGCTGCTTAATTGCCCCGTCGGCTGCTCCCTTTGTTCCAGCGGATCCAAAAGCGGCATCAGTAAGTGAGCTGAATAATTAGGATGAATCAAATCGAGTTGTAATCTTCAGGTCACAGGTGCCTTTAAATTTAACTGGCTAATGGTTTTGGGTGAAATATTGTCATCAGCGCACAATAAATGATCATCATATCCGTACATTTTGTTCTTCCAATAGCGGGCGGGGAAAAGCGGATCTCTATTTGACGTCAAATATTAACTGCTCTTAAAAAGAAAAAAAGTGAAAGGTGAGTAAATCCTCCGCTGCTGAACCATAATTTACAATAAAGAAAAACACTCAAACAGCGAGACAGTGGCGATGCGCCGTTTAATGAAACCATTTAGTAAAAAGGTGGCTGTGCGTGTGAGCAACGCTTTGCCACGTTAAGCTGACAAGTGGCAAAACAACTGCAGGCCCTCAACACAGTGCTTATCGATCCGGAAGACGGAATGAAGGGTTTAGAAAGAAAATGATTAAAGGAAAAGTGAAAGCCTCGGTAGAAAAAGAAACCACTAAAAGGGAGTTTAGTTATTTTACCTCTGGTTTCCATGGCAATTTCTTGTGGTGTTGGTTGAGGAACCTCCGGATTCTGGCGTAATCTCTGCCATCAGCTCCTCCTGCGAGCGACTCATCATCCTTGAAAGAATACAGCAGAAACAAACAGGCATGGGTTGTTGTTTTTTTAAAAGGCAGTACTTCCTTTTAAAAAAAGAGGATTAATGGTGTTTTTTTAATCTCATTCTAATCAATGCATGTAGGCGAAGAAGCATCCGTCACTGCGGTAACATGACTCCACCACCATAAGCCACATAATTGATATATGAGATAAAGTAGGAGCATTAGCCCTTTCCAACTGATGGAAGCATTAAGCAGTACATACTCCACAATACAAACCGCTAAGAATACTACACACACACACACACACACACACACACACACACACACACACACACACACAGACAGACAGACAGACAGACACCCTGAGAGACCAGGCCAAGGAAACGCAGGGTTATTCTCCAAGAAAGCCACTAATAAGATCCTGTTTAACTCGTCGTCACCATTCACTGCTAATCCGCCCTTTGACTCTTTAATCTCCAACATACCAACCCTGCCGGCCAAAATCTCCTCTCCAGGGAGCCTGAACCCCCCTCCCCCAGATCTGGGATTTAGCCTGGTGCTGCTGCCAGAGCACTGCACCGCTAGGCTAATGTTCATGCTGTGGTGTGGTGCAACGGGCACGGCGGGGCAGAGAGGAGCACAAGTACGCGCCAGCCTATACGGGATTAAAGGGCGCCGGAGTAATTGAGTCGTCGAGCTGTTAATTTAGTCACAAAGCATCCTCCATTTAGCAGGGGTTTCAAAAGAGGAGGAGCACCTCCGTCGAGACACGTCGGAGAGGTTCCGAGCACCCCTGAAAAGGAGGCTCTTTGTCGAGGAGGCAGCCGTGTTTACAAAAGAATCAGGAGGAGCACAGGAGGCAAAGAGACGAGAGCAGTCGGGTTCCAACCCCTTTTATCACTTTTTTTTCCCCCCAGCTTCCAAGGAACAGACATGAAGGAGGAGAGGCGACGATGAAATGACGAAATGTGCCAACAGGCCTCTCCTCCTGTCTGACTCCAGAGCAGCGCCCCTGTTGTCGTGCACACACACACACACACACACACACACACACACACACACACACACACACACACACACACACACACACACACACACACACCTCTCCGGCACTAGTTTCCTCACACAAGCGGCAAAGAGACACAACGTTCCTATTGCATCAGCTGGAGTCGCGCATTAAATCAACACATTAGAGGACGAGACTGGACTCGGTGTTCGATGAAATTCAAGGTGGAAAACGGAACAAGGAGCTTTATTTGAAGATCTGCAGAAGAATGATTTGTTTTTTTTGACACAGTATGGTAGGAGGCTTTTTTAGTGCAGCAACCGAAATGTTTGTGTCTGAAAACTTCTTTGGCAGAGTTCAGTTCATTACCTTGCAGCTAGAAATCAGGAATCAGGAATATTTATTGCGCAAATAGTTGTACAATTATTGGCCTAAGTGGCAGTTATGCACCAAAACTTTGAATATTAAAAAAAGGTTTATTTTTTTTTTATTCTTACATTTTTACCTCTGCTTGGAACACTATATGCTTGCAAAAAACATTGCGGTTCAACATATTTCTTTCTCCAAGAATTCACTTAGAACTTCAGCTTCATAAAGTTTCCGGTGTACAAAAACGTCTGTTTTTGAATTCATATCGTAAAAGCTCCGTTTCATCACAACACTTTTCTCTATAGAGTGCTTCTTCACGTTTGAGGCGTTGTCTTTTTTTACTTGTAGTCAACACTGCACTTATCATGAAATCTGGCCTGTGGATGGTCTCCGGCACATTGTTTGACTTTACTGTGAGCAAACCAAGAGCTTTCCGACTCCATCTGTGACAAGCGCATACCTTGCCAGCCAATCGGCGTTCACTATTAGAACAGGTGCGGCGGCTGTTTGATGGATTATCCATGTGGGCAAAGCACTTTGAGATCTGTGGACGCGGAAATGAATAACTTTAGGAATAACATGACGTCCACCCTAAATCACTGTGTGGTTTTGGGTTGCAATTCGCCGGGCAAAACCCTTTTCCAAAAAAAGTCCCGCTCGATCCAACTAAAAGTCTGCTCATCGATTCGACACTAAAAGGTACAGTTAAACTCATTGACCCGAGGAGGCGCAACATCCATCAGCCCAACCTCGTCTGCGTGTGACGACTTTACACTCCGGCAAGATGTTGCCTTCACTTACGGCGCACTGCAAATACGTGTAACATTGTGTGTGACTCATTACTTCAGAGTTACAGCCTAATTTATAAGAATTTATATTTTAAGCAGATCTTCAATTTTCCCGGCGATGGGCTCAGAAGTGCGTTATCGTTTTTCACTGATATAATTAAAGTTGAAGCTACAGGGGCTGTCAGATGGCCTCATGTATTAAACATTACATAAAGGCAAAGCGGGGGAACATCAATCCCAGTGATGGGAAGGCCTATTTGTCAAGTGTGAAAATTGATATTTACCTTGCTGACTTTCAGTCAAATAAAAGACAAATGGTCTTTAACAAAGCGTGCATTTGTGTGCTGTAAAAAGGAACGCGTTGGAGGGAGTGAGGGAGAGTCGCGTTTAAGTCCTTTTTTATGTATGAACACGTGTGGGAAAAGTTGTAAACCTCGAAGGGATTGAATGAAAGATTAGCTCTCCGATCAGCGAGATTCCGACACGGATACACATCCAACCCGCCGGTCCAACAACTGAAAACTGCAGTGGGTGGAATCTCCGTGTTTAAAACAGCACTCGCTGATCCGAGCCGAGGGAAGCGGCCGGAGCCGGTGTCCTAGAATACTAATGAGCTAAATTAATCCCCCTTATTAAACACAAACAAGCAGGAGTCTGCAGGTGTGTGTGTGTGTGTGTGTGTGTGTTTGTCACAAAGTTCTTCATCCCGCTCCACTCCACCCGCCATGACAGCTTTGCTCGGCTCGCTCTCAAAAATCCACAAATCATAGCTTCATCTCCAGGGACCTGCATCATGAAAGTTAATAACCAGTGTGGAATAATTACATCATTCATAATTTCTTATTCATGTTAACCACCACAAAAAAGGTATTCAGCATGTTAATGAGTCCCGCCGCAATATTAATAATACATATATGCTTCCCATTTTTGTCCTATGGCCTCGCTGTTTGAACAGCGGTTCCTGCTCACTGGGTGCTCACTGTTCATATTAATGCGCGTAACGGGAAGCAGCGACGCCTGGGTGGCATTTATTGCAGCGATGACTAATTGTAAGGATTTATCCTCTAAGACAAAAGCCGTAATGAAAGCTGCGCTCGTCTGTGGTGGTGATATTTAAAAACCGAACACGGAAAATATATATTTATAGTGTTAAATTGAAGATCTTGGATAAGACTGCGAACGTATGTCACCATCAACCTGACATTTCTAATCTAATTTTCTGAAGACAGAAATAACTTGATAAAAGAAAAGATTTGAGATGAAGAGAAGAGACGGAAATCAGAAGACTGGAGAATAAAGCAGCAGAAACACTAAACAGTGACAAACACAAATGAGAGAAAAGGGGACTAGTGGGGCAATAACTGGGGGGGAGGGGGGAGCGTGACGGAGAAGCTTTTTGATAGGTGGTGCTCCCACAGTCCCTGTCCCTCCTCTCTGTACTGAACACACAGAGTTCAAGGTGGTTGGTGTTGCAAAGTGTTGCAAAGAAGTTGATTGGCAAGTCACAGAAAATGTGCTGCAATGTTTGGGTAAAGTGCACAGAAAAGGCCTGAGCTTACAACTGCCGCTCCAGTAGACCAGTGACTCTGAGCTGCTCCTGTCTGCCCATCGATACGAGCCTTTCATTCCCCGTGCCGTGTGCAGGCATTGAATGAAAAGTGTCTACTGTATATTTTAAATGTAGTGTACAAATGGTGACAGCAAGGCTTTCCCCTGCCACTCACGGGCGCACACAGGACAGTCCACTGTATGAAGAAGCCTGCATGGGCACAAAGCACAGTACCCGACCTTAAATACACATCTGAAGAAATGTATTAACCATATAAGTGGGTATTGTAAAGAATATGTAAAGACCAGTGAGCTAGTATATATAGTGAGGAAAGCTGTGATTCTCGAAATACTCAACGGAGGACGAGAAGGACCGAGATGATGTGGCTCACTTCTTTCTCCAGCTCAGACCAATTATGCCACTTCCTCATAGGGCGCCAGCAATTAGCTGAATTGCACTCAAAAGATTGTTGGATTTCAAAAGCGTGTTTCTGCAAGTCCTTGTTCACACAACGTGACTAATACAAATGTTTTCAAATGGACTCGGGCTGCAACGACAAATCGGTGAAAATTGATTAAAAATCCATTATTAAAAGTGTTGCCAACGGATTTCATTATCGCCTCGTTGTGTCGCACCGGGTTGCAAGGAAAAGAAAAACAAGAGCGTAGCTGACGTAGAGGAAGCAGCGGCGGCAGTTGTCGTGAGTCACGTGTCGCCGCCAGAGACGTCTGTTTGACCCGAGTCGTCCACGGTGAGCGAGCACTTCACACTAAATCAACTAAATAAGTGTGTCAATGGGAAAATATGCAAAGTCGCCGTAACACGGGAGCAGCTGCCTCCAGCTGTTTACCCGTCATCCAGCTGAACGAGCTAGCGTTAGCTCGCTAATAACAGCAGTAAAGCGTTTAGCAAGACTAAAGACACGTTGTTATATACTCACCTTTTTTGGACCCTTTGTTTTTCAATCTGTTGCCATGAATGTATTTTGTGCTTTGTCCCATATCGGTTATTGTTGACAAATATATTTGTGTGTGTTTTAATTGTTTAATGACAATATAAATTCATCTCATAGCACTTGCAGTGTGAATTTGCCGTTCCGTTTTTTTAATGCTTCGATTAATTGATTATCAAAATGATCGTTAGTTGCAGATTAAAATGGACACATGTGCTCTTTTATCATCACACACTCACCATGGCAACAAGAGGTCTGACAACACAAACCTGCATGAAATTATTTGAAACATGAAAGTAAATTCAATTATTTGTGCAGATGCGGACGAAAGCAGTGAGTGAGTCAGTGATCGGC